CCCAACCCACACCGTCCACCCCAACATAATGCCCACAAGTGAAAGAGTTTTCTGAAATCCTAAACCACAATTGATTTTACTTCTCCTCCTGCAATCCACCTTCCAACCCAACAAAAACACTTTCTTGCTCGCTTCCAATTTATATGCCAACTTTGGACGTTCCAAGGTATTAAAATCATTCCATTGTTAACGTTTTCCTATGTAACAACAACAACAACAACAACAACTATGCCTTAGTCTCTACATTTTCTATATAACATTTCCCTATATAACTTTCAAAATTGTCAACAATTCAAATTCACTTTATTGTTCAAATTTTATATAACACTTTAGTCATCTTTAACTTCTCAAGATGTTTGACTCCATTCTATTAATAAAATATTAGCATATATAACTTTCACAATATACAATAATTCAAATTGTATATCTTGAAAACAATATTTTCCTTATCAACTATCTTTTCAATCATTAATTTTTATATGCTTAATCACTACCATTTGCATTACTATTGTTTCAAGAACCAGAAAAGAAAATTCTTTAACACTTTTATCTAAAATCCTCACAACCTCAGTTCCAAACTAATTTGGGGGAGTTAAAAGGAAGAGTGATGGTGAAAAATGAGTACCTTGTACGATGATCAGTCAGTAGAAATGTGCAACTGCAACCAAACGGAGTTTCGAATCCCTTGTCTCAAGTTTTGCGTTGGTAGATTGTCATTGTAAGGTGTATGTTGGGCAGTTATTTAAAGGAAATGGATGTGGTTTGGACACGGTTTCACTATTATGTGGCCTTTTCACTTACCGTTTGCTGATCTGTCTTTCCACCACCAATTTTTTTCCCTTTCTTTTTAAAAAAAATATTCTACACAAGGGAAGGACAAAATGGTGAGGGAATTATAAAAGTGTATAATCTAATTTATCAACAAAGTGATATGTGAAAGTTCGATAGTCAATCAGTTGAATTATAAATTTCAATCCCATATTCATTTTTATTTCTAGTACTCGTCTCTTTTTTCGTTTCAAAGTTTATAACTTTATATTATACTCATGGGACATATCTATGTAGATGTGCCTTACATACTTGGGTAGAATGATGTAGGTGATGTGAACTGATATGATTAATTACCTAATGAAATTCAATTTCTATTGATTAAAGATATTTAAGTTTAATTAGAAATGGAATACTCGAGAAACAAAAGAAATTTTTTTATGAAACTTTTCTGTACTATTTAAAAGCGGCTTTCATTTTTCCTTAATTAATTATAGTATTTTTTTCATGAATACCAATAATTTTGACAGGGATGATATATTTTCTTTTGGTTACTCGAGTATTTAATAATCAACTAAAATTAATTAATTTGTCAGTTAGTTTAGATTATAGTTTATTTTGCATAAAAGATGCAATGTAAATAAACTCTATCGTAAGTATCATCTAAAAAAAAGGTATCGTTTAATACCCTTTTTACAGGTTTTATGTTTATATTAGAGTTTTGATATTAACTTATGAATTGTATCTTCAAAAAATGGATAAATAAGAGAAAAGCTTTGAGGCCTTTAAAAGGCAAGCAAATTTGTTGCACGTGACTTTATTGTATCCAAAAGTTAATGTAAAAATAGCATGGGCTAGCCAGTTTTCGGACTGGTCATTCAAAAATAGTCAGCGTTTGCAAAGTCATTGAAAAATAGTCACTATTTTGCTGCAATACGGAAAGATAATATCGTGGAGATCGGTGCACCTGTATATGAATTTCCAGCATATTATGCTGGAACTCCAACATGCGGAAAGTTCCAGTATAATATACTTGAGATCCAATCTCCAGTATATTATGCTGGATTGGTATATTATACTGGAACTCCAGTACAATATACTGGAGTTCCAGTATATTATATTGGAATTCCAGTATAATCCAGTATGTTATACTGAAGTATTTTTCGGATTTTGAACAATATTTTCTTTCAAATTTATCTTTACATAAAAAGTGACTAAATTTCGATTACTTTTGAAATTGTGACTAATTTTAAGTGACCACTTATAAATTTGACTATTTTTGAATTTCTCCCAAAGTTAATATCATTAGGATGATACCTTATTGTTTAACGATAATAGCAAAGTTAGGTTACCTCGTGAATTTCAAGAAACCAAAAAAACTAGGTACAAAAATGTAAATGTTCCCTCAAACTCAGCTGAACTTCTCTTGCCTTTTGTAGCGAAGATAAGGGGCGGAGGGGAGCATTAGCCGTGAGTTCAGATGAACCCAATGATTTTTGCTTAAACTTTATATTTATATTAAAAAATTTATAAAATATATATAAATATTTAATTACGAACCCAATAATTAAGATAGACTATGTGTTCGGTAATGAATTCAGAACGCATAAATTTCAAATCCTAACTCCGCTTCCAAACACATATAGAGCAGTTAGTTACCCGAAACCCACGACTATGCAGGGATGGTCCCTTAACTATAGGAAATATGTTTAAATATAGAAACTTAATATAGAATTATGGTGCGTCAGTTAAGACAGCTAAAGGCTAAAGCTCGAGAAAAATCTCAAGCGTAGATTTGAAAGTTAGAGGTCAACCAGATTTTTTGATTGGAGAAAAATGTATTTTTCGGATAATTGCAGTTCTTATTAAAATTTGTGAGTGTTATGTGAGTGGAAAAAAAAGGTTCCAATGAAAAACACTCTGAAAGTCCTTCATTGAACTTTTTTTTTTCGAAGAAAGTTAGTATTAAAACTTTTTGAAAAAAATTAAATAGACATATTTTCAACTAAGTTTTCAAACAACGCCTCCTCAACTTATTTGTTTTTTTGGTACATTGAAAAATAGTACTTAATATAAAAATTAAAAACTTTTCGTAAGTTATATTGCTTATATCAGTCAATCTCTTCTCAACTCTCCTATCAAGATACTAGACTAAACCAAATTACTTCTACACAAATATTATTTCAAAATGAAGAATGAACGTATATTAAACGTGTTAATGCAAATTAAGGTAGGTAACTAACACATGAAATAAAAGAAATACTCCCTATGTTCCACTTTGTGAAGCTTATACTATTTGGGGAGTCAAAAAAAGGTTTTCTTTGACCACAATTTTTGTAAATGCTTTTTAAATATTTAAGATTATTAACTATTGTGACTTATAGTATAATTTCTAAATATGTAGAATTTGTTTTAAAAATAGAAATTCTATATCCGTATTCACACAAAAAAATTAATCAAGTTAACTCTTGTACTCCAAAAGGTTCACATAAACTAGAACAATTGAATAATATTTATATCCACAAATGGTTGAAAGATCTTTACGCATAAAATTTTAACAGGTAAATTCTATAAATGGTCATATAACTATGGTTTTTTTTTTACCAAAGTTATCTAACTTTATTTTCTCACACGACAATCATATAACTATGATTTTTTGTCATCAAAGTCACATAACTATGTTTTCTTACACAAAAATCATAAAACTTTTACTAACTCACACAAAAATCATAATAATCGAAAAATATAAATTTTTAGTAGTATCTTCTTATTTTGCATTTTTTATTTTTTATTTTTAGTCTAATAAATAATAATCCAATTAAAATAGGAATGACTCAACCTGCCCAACCCACTACTCATATATATAAAATTAAAATAATAATAAAAGTGAATAGTAAATCCTTTAAAACAAGATACTTCTATCTTTTATTTTTCTTTCCAAGATTTTTGTTCAAATTGATAGCATTTTTATTTCAAGTGCTCTCTAATTATACCTTTTATTTCTTTATTTTTTTTCCTTCAAATTCTCATGCATTCCAAACTAAATTTTTTATAGGGGAAGAATTTACTTTTAGTATTATTTTAACTTACGTACATGGTTATTGGGTCAGGCTGGGTTGGGTCATTCCTATTTTAAGGGAAAAATATAAAATTAACCGGCCCGCCGAAACTAATTGCATTTGCTAGTCAAAATATATATAGAATGTATATGTTATATGTATATAAT